CATCTTGCGCTTTTGCATTTCAGAAACAGATGGGTTGCGTCTTCTTCCTCTTCTTGACACAGGTTGCATTTGCCATCACCCATGATTATGCCAAATCCTCTTTTCAACAAGTTGGATTTGGTTGGAAGTCTATTAAGCAGCAGTTGCCAGTTGAATGCAGAGATCTTGTTTGGCAGGTTGGGATTCCATACTCTCCTGAAGACTTTTTCTTGAGTCGAACACCTCGGCACCTTTGTTAAGAGTGAGTATGTTGTTGTGGTTGAGTAATGGGAATCCTTGCTGTGTATCCACTCCCATTCATCAGGCCGGCCAGGAAATATCTTCACACCCTCAATCAACGTACTGAGTTCCGTTGCAGCCTCTTCTTCCCTTTCGAGCAGCTTCCTTCTCCATGTAAGATTCCATTTCCAAGTTCCATTGCACATAGTTCCCATTTGGTAGCACTCTTTCTCCTTTCCTGCAGATAAGAGATACAATCTTGGGAATTTGTTAGCTAGACAATTCTCCCCACACCACTCATCCCACCAAAAGCTCACGTCCTTCCCTTCTCCTAACTTCAATCTAAAACCCTCTGTTAACCACCCTGAATTTTCCCCCTCAACTTTATTAATCCCTTTGACATCTCTCCACCAAGAAGAGCTAGCTCCTGCCCCGTTCCTAACCCAATCCATCCAGTGCCCCCCTCCCTCACTATATTTACTTGCAATCACTTTCCTCCACAATCCTTCCTCTTTTACTGCTAACCTCCCCCACCATTTACCCATCAATGACAAGTTAAAGTACCCTAGATCTCTCACTCCCAACCCACCGTACTCTTTCGGCATGCAAACCTTCTTCCAATTGACCCAATTAATTTTTTTCCTTTCTCCCTCCCCACCCCATAAGAAACTCTTACGAATTTTATCAATAGCTTTGAGAGTACCTTTTGGGATTAGGTATACTGACATTAAGAACACAGGCAAACTAAACAACACAGAATTAATGAGCGTGATTCAACCCCCAAGAGAAAGTTGCCGACCCTTCCAGCTTGTCAACTTCTTTTTAAAAGAATCCAACAAGGGCTGCCACATTGTGAGCCTTCTATGGCTTCCCCCGATGGGAATTCCCAAATATTTAAATGGAAATTCCCCTTTTTTGCAGCATAATCTATAGGCCATTTTGCTTCCCCAACCATCTTCAACACTGATGCCCATAAGTTAGCTCTTTTGTAGATTAATTTCCAATCCAGAGAGCAGCTCAAAAGTCCTCATTATACTTTTAATCACCATGATGTTATCATCTGTTGCTTCCCCAAAAAACATGGTGTCATCTGCAAATTGAAGGTGGATAACCATTATCGCGTCCTTGCCAACTGTCACGCCCTTATATAACTCTTTTTCAAATGCAGAGGACATTAAACCATTCAACCCTTCCGCTACGATCAGGAATAGGAAAGAAGATAAAGGGTCTCATTGGCGAAGTGCCTTGCTAACTGGAAATTGTCTTGAAGGGCTTCCATTGACCAGAACTGAGACCATGCTAGATTGTAGACACTCATGTATCCACTTTCTCCATGTATTGCAGAAGCCCATCCTCATCAGCATATAGTCAAGGAAGTCCCAGCACACTTTATCGTATGCTTTTTCAAAATCGACCTTGAAAAGGAAGCTTCTCTTCTTTTTCCTCTTTGCCTCATCAATCACTTCATTAGCAATAACCACACCATCAACCAGCTGTCTACCTTCAATGAATGCCATTTGTTGCTCCCCGATAACTTTGTCCAGCACTTTTCGAAGGCGATTTGCTAACAGCTTCACAATTATCTTGTACATAACTCCAATAAGTGAAATGGGCCTGTATTCTTCAATCCTTTGGGGGTTTTCTACCTTAGGAATTAGAGTTATGAAAGAGGCATTTGATCCTCTTACAAGCCTTCCTTGTTCCTAGAACTCTCTAATAAAACCAGCAATCTCAGTTTTTATGTCTTCCCACATGCACTTCACAAATTTGAAATTAAATCCATCCGGACCTAGAGACTTTGACGATTCACAATCCCAAACAGCATTTTTGATTTCTTCTTCAGAGAATGTTGCCGTAAGGGATTCATTGTCTGCCCTATCAATCTGTCGGAAGCTGATACCGTTTAGCTTGGGCCTCTGCCACCTATCTTCTGTGAAAAGCTGCTTGAAATAACTCGCTATTTTTTCTTTAATTTCACCCACTCCCCTATGCTGCTCACCATTAATCTGGATGTTGTTGATTTCGTTTTCTCCATCTTCCCTTCACACACATATGGAAAAATTTGGTGTTTGCATCACCATCTTTTAGCCACATCAATCTTGATTTTTGCTGCCACATATTCTCTTTTAATTTGAGGTTGTTCCACAGTTCAAGAAAACTGCTTCTCCTCTTTTCAATTTTAGTTGATGACAATTGGACATTCTTTCCTCTTTCGTCCAGTTGAGCTATCACTCTCTCAGCTTCCATTATTTTCCTGTCCACCTCCGTCATTGAATTTCTACTCCATTCTTTTAAAGCTTTCTTCGTACTTTTCAGTTTCTCCTTGAGTCTAAATCCATACCATCCCTCCACTGCCGTAGAGTTCCATGTTTTTCTAATCAGCTCCTTGCACCCAGGATACTGCAGCCAAGCATCAAAAAATTTGAAAGGCTTTGGTCCCCAATCTACCCGCTCATTCTTCAATAAAACGGGACAATGGTCTGAAACTGTTCTTTTCAACCCCCACTGTTTTACATCGCACCATCTCAAAAGCCAATCCTCTGAAACCAAGAATCTGTCAATCCTGCTCATATATTGGCCATTAGAATTGTACCAGGTGTATTTCCTCCCTACCAAAGGCAAATCAACCAACCCAGATTTGTTGATGAAATTGTCGAATTCTTTCATTTCTCTAGACATCCCATTGCACCCTGCCCACTCCTCTGTGCTCCGGACAGCGTTAAAGTCCCCCCCTAGACACCAGTTGCCTTTCCTATTTGAGATCAGATTCTGCAACTCCTCCCAAAGGGCTCTCTTTCCAGACAATTCACATGGAGAATAAATGTTTAAAATATAAACCGGTACACCCTCTTCCCCCCATGTCCCAAACACCCCAATGAAATGGTCCCCCTCTATCACCTCTTCCTTTTTAAATGTTTTATTGTTCCACACACACAGCAATCCGCCCGATAGTCCAATAGATGGCTTGGCTATCCAGTCAAAATCCTCCGTCCCCCACACCCTCCTACACAACTTCCTGTCTACAACCTCCAATTTGGTTTCTTGAACAGCTAAAAATTCCACTTTCTCCCTCAAAACTATATCCCTAATGTGTCTTCATTTCCCAACCCCTCCTAAGCCTCTAATGTTAAAAGACAACATTATCATTGGGATCAAGACATACCTTCTTCGCACCTCTTGCTTCCTTCTTCTCTATGTCTGCTTTGGCTTGGCTATCTCTTTTCTCCATTTCATCAATTCTGTGAATAACCTCCTCATCACACTCTGCCATTGCTCCTAGCTGCTTGGCTAGCTCCCAAATCTCTTTAGCAAGCTTCTATTGCATCTTTTTTTTTTTAGTTCTGTTACAATTCTGAATCCCGCTGTCCCCTATAGATTCGCTTGCTATTTCTCCGTTTGGACTAGCTATAAACACTGGCAAAATCTCCCTCCTTGTTGGCTACTTGCTCCGGCGATCTTGCCCCTTTTTCCTTCCCTACTTAGTGACAGTTTATATATATATATATATATATATCTTTTAAGATTGTTTTATGTGACCAGCTATTTATATTGCTAGGAATAACCTTGCAAAGCCATTGCCATGCATGAACATGGACTCGAACCCCAAATATCCTTCCAATTAAGTTGCCATAAAAGAAAGAAACTAAAATTAGTGAAAGAAGGAAACCAACAGATGAACTCGAGCAAGACTGAGAATGTGAGATCCAAAAAAGGATTCTGGGTCTACCTTATATAAAAGAAAGAAACAGAAAAAGAAAAAAAAAAAATTGGAAACAGCAAAGATGAACTCAATCAAACTGACATTCAAAACATGCAGGATTCAATTTCCAAATATGACTTTCCCTTCTTCTCATTGTACTACAATCAATTTGATTATTTTAGAATCAGTCATCAATCACATTAGTGACTGATTATTCCAATACCTTAACACCAGATTGATAATCTATAAATGAAATTAAAAAACAAAAATATATATACACAATCAATTTGATTACTCAAATTTCAAAATCAATCCATTACCTTAGTATTATTTAGAATCAATCAATCAATCACCACAATAATGATTTATTTTCCCGATCTCTTAATAGATTGATACTCTATAAATGAAATTAAGAATAGATGATCAACTCAGGCAAAGTGACCACAGATAGCATTTCAAGTACCATAAAAGAAAGAAACAAAAAAGGGAAAAGGAAAAAAAAATGTAAACAACATATGTATAAATCAAGCTTCGGTACCAAAACAGGGAAAACTAATGTTTAAAGAAGTACGATTTCAAGTTAAGAAACCATAATAATTTGATCACATGTTTATTTCCATAATTTCTTCAACCAATTTGACTATAAATTCTTGTGACCAAAATCCCCCTTTCCCCGTCCCAAAAACCATTACAATGGCTCCCCATAGAGTTTTTCTCTCAGCACTTTCCCTTCTCCTTGTAGTACTACAGCTACTCCGGTTGAGTCCAGACCCCTTGAACCTCCAAGGAAACATCTTTCAAACTTGTTCCAAAATCTGGAGGGATCTCACAAGGAGCAAAACTTGAGAGGGCTTCATCAGGTCAAACAATACCTCAAAAATCTACGCTACTATCCTAATGGTGTTGATATTACCGCCAATGATTTTGATGATCATTTGGAATCTGCCATCAAAAAGTATCAACAATATTGCCACCGCAATGTCACCGGAAACCATGATCCTTATACCATCAAAGCTTTATCTGAACGTAGATATGGTGTTCCTGATTTTCTTGTCCTTGATCAGAACCTAACCACTAACCCTAGCAAGATCAACTTTGACATTAAATATTCTTTCTTCCCAAAAAATTCCAAAATGGCCAACTACCAAGCTTGATCTCACCTATTCGCTCAAGTCCGGTGCTGGGATCAATGTCGACTTAGCACCGTCGTTAAGGTTAAGGCCAATAGTTGAGCGTGCATACAAGAGATGGCAAGACATTTCTCCATTGACGTTCAAGGAACAGGATTCAAACTCAAATATTTTGATAGGGTTCTTCCGCGGCGACCATGCAGATGGTTCACCATTTGATGGTCCAGGGAAAGTTTATGCTCATGCCTTTCGCCCCACACTGCAAGAATGTAGTCATAAAGATGTCAATATTTTAAGCGTAAGTCAATACACAAATATATGTTACCTATGTCAACATTATTCATGCAAAAAAAGGTTATCGCAAAATAGGATCAAAAGTACGAAAAAACCTAATTTATTGCGTTAATATTTCAAAAAAAATTACAAAATGGTAAAAAGTAATTAAACGATTAATATTTTACTGATATGATACTATTTCACAATACCTTATCCTTCAGACATGCTTTAGTGGAGTGGGGGTCAATAATTCTTTACTATTACATCAAAACTTATATTGATACAAATTATTAGTGTTGCTTTCAAAACTAGATCTACGTTATCTTGCCTTGAATTTTCAAAAGCTTTTGTTTACTTTTCCTCCTATCTCTTTTACAAAAGCAACAACAATACTATTTATCTCAAATTTCAACTACATTCATTAAAGTTCAATATCACAAAGGAGATAAAAAAGTAAGAAAATCATTTCTTTAAAAGTTTTTTTAATTATTTTTTTTAATTTGTATGTTATACATGCCAGATCTAACCATCTTTTTTTTTTCCTTTGATATTATAGATCCAAGTGTTTAGTCTCTAAAAAAAAAGACAAAAGAGTAAGAAGATTAATATTTTAAAAGGTTTTTAATTTTTTTACCAAATTTGCATGTTATACATTTTTTATCTAACTCTCTCTGTCTTTTTTTTTTTATTTTTTTGAAGCTGTAGATTCAAGTATCTAGTATCTAGTATCTACAAAATAAGTTTTTTAATCTTTTTACAAACCTAAATTTTTAATATCCTAGATCTGACTTGTTTTTCTTTTTCTCCTTTAGATTTAAGATTGAGCATTTGACACTTGAAACTCTTAGAAGGAATATTTTGTCTTATAAAAAATTTTAGGTTAAATGTTAATTTTGGTCCTTTAACTTTAAAATTTTGCATCATTTTCATCTCAAAATTTTTTTATATACTTTTTTTGTCCCTCAATTATGAAATTGTACTTTTTTTTGGTAATTTTGTTATTTAATTGTTGAATCTATTTATGCTTATATATTAGGTTGAATGGATTGAAACAAGTTTAAAATTGCATCTTACATAAACTATTTGTACATAGATTAATATGCAAATGAGGTTTAATTTTTTTTATTTATTTGGATGAAATATGTTATGTTGCCAGAAGGATTACTATAATGATACATAGGTTTATAAGTCTTTTTATGAGGTGTTTCATATTTAGATAAGCATATTTTTTTTTCTCATGAGTTCTTTCATAAATCATATAATTGGATTTTTCTTAGGTTTTTAAGTCAACAACTTAATATTGATGTTGACTTCATAAAAAATTTTCAAAAATTTTCGAGACCTGCCAAGTTTTTACACCACTTTTGACTGAATTATTGTCTATATCAACAATGTCAAAGCAAGTCATATTGCCTTACGCAAATGTTTATATATATATATATATATATATGTATATCACCCATAGTAATTCTCTTGTTATTACACCATTTCTGTTCTTCTTCTTTAAATTTATTTCTCACTTCTTCCTATCCTCTTCTTATTTTTCATAAACTAAATTTATTCTCATGAAATTTTTGTCATAATCCAATAGTATATTCTCTAACCCATAAATTCTTCTATTTTATTATAATTTTTTTAATAGTTTGTATAATTCTACTAATTTAGAGTTTTTATTTATACTTAAACTAATTTTTCATTTTAGTTGTAGGTTTATATATTGAAAGAATCTCTTATATAAGGTAAATGATTTTGCGCCATTTTTTTCATTTTTCTGCCATTAGTTTGTATTATATTATATGATGGTTAATTTAAAATATTATTTTTATTTTTGTTTCTTGTGCTTTTGTAGGGGAGATGTCTTAACACAATATATGGTATGTGATTATACTTTAATTTTCTTGGAATTTCTTTGTTTGATTTAAAGATGTTTTTCATTTTTTCTTAATTTTCTAATTACTTTATTTATTTATTTTTTGTAGGTGGAAGAATGAATATACCATTTTAACTTTGTTTTCTTCTTTTTCATTTGTAAATTTTTCTTCTTTTTTTTTATGGATCTAAATTTTTTATAGATATATTGACTTGTATAATTGATAATTAATTTTTGTATAAAATTATTAATATTATTATTAATGTATATTAATTTTTAATTAAAAATTTAATTTTTATTATTGAGTTTCAATCACCATATTGTTATTGAGTTTCAATAATAATGATAACAATAATAAATTAATTACTATTATTATTATATTAAACTTAATAGTAAAATTAAATATATATACTTTTTTGAATCTAACAAAAGTATTAGCATCAGCCATTTAATTAACTCTCATCCTGATGCAATACTAGTGATACTGGAACTTGGGTTTACTCAGTACCATATACTTGTGTGAACATATGCGTCAGCTTAAACTTGCGTATTGTTTTAGATATCAGTGTCAGCTTCTTTCATGTTGACACAAATATATTTGTGATGCTTTTCAATGTCAGAATCAACATTTCCATAAATGGCGCATTTGTTTTTCTACTGGCATCAATTTTCCTTCTATCTGCAACCATATTTTCTCATGCGAAGGGGGTTACATTCTTGTAGTGCCAGAAGATGGACGCGTTCATTTTGATGCAGATGAGCCTAACTGGAGTTACGGTGACCCTGGGTAAGATGAAATTGACTTTGAATCCGTTGCGTTGCATGAATTTGGACACAGTATAGGACTCGGACATAGCACTACCGGGGATGCCATTATGTATGCATATTTTGACAAAGGAGAAATGAGGAGGCAAATAACTCCTGATGATAAACTGGGTGTAGATGTTATGTATGGTGGCTACTACCACAACCTAGAACGGACACATCCTAATTGGTAGGACAATTTTTATACTTTTTAAAGTTTAAGGACAGATTGGTATATTAACCTTTACTTTTGGCTGCTTGTTTTACCTTTTTTTTTTTTTTTTTCTTTTGAGAACGGATGAACTGTAGGCTCATATGTGTTTGATCTGTTCGGGTCCTGCAAGATCTGACGGATCATGTTTCCCGGTTCAAGTTCAACCCGTTTAATTTGGTTCGGTGCCTTTTGGCCAACCCAATCAGACCCAATTTCAAAATTATAAGGAAAATATAATTAATTAGATATAAACGCTTGCTCCTTTCCTTAGGCCGCCCATTAGTGGCCCAAGTGAAAAAATAAAAAAACTCTCTCTTACCTTTCCTGCTAGTTGAGGAAAAAAAAGTGTATTTTAATTAAAAAAATATTGTGTAATCTGAACTATTTTAAATAGTATTTGAACTATAAATCAAAAAAACTAATAGTAATTTTAATATCAATATCACATATTTTAATTTAATTAGGTAATTATTACAATTAAAATTAAAATTTATATTTTTATGTATTTTAACAACTAAAAAATATATTAATTACTTTTTTTTAACCTATGCTAGGCACAAGTTAAAAAAGTTCATTAATAAATAATAAAAATTGTTTCTTAATCATACCTCTAAAAAATTAAAAAATTCACAATTATGTACTTTCAATAAATGTTTATTGAAAAAAGTCCTAATTAAGCTTGTTTTTCTAAATCAATCATTGACAGTCGACTGTTGACTCGATTAACAGAAGTTTTGCCCTTCTAAGCAGGCCAAGAAGTACTCCATAAAATTTTATGCAGAGAAAGTATCTACATTACCAGAAGTTATTGCCCAAAACTTTATGAAACTCAAAAGAAGGAGCTCATTTACAGCTGCCATTTTCCAAGTCTCTCCTGCTTTTGTAACATTTACACAAAATTATGTACAATAACAAACTCACTGCACTTGCTGAAGCTAAAAGCCAGTAGTACTTGTCTAGTCTGGCTTTTCTCATGTCATCAGAGAACCAGCTTGGTCTTCCTTTTGAACTAGTGAAAACCTCCACGACTGAAATCAACAGGGCACTTAGGAAACTCCCCACCCCAAAAACACTAGTGTAGAGTGCAAACCCCATTGTTCTCATTTTGACAGGTACTTCATTGTAAAAGAACTCTTGCATCCCAACAACAGTGAAAATGTCTGAAATGCCTAGAAGAATATATTGTGGTAGCAACCAAAATATGCTCAAGTGTATTGTTTCTTGCTCAGTTTCTGAATCTTGGATTTGCATTTTTCTGCTGATCTCGAGTCTCTTTGTTTCAACAGTTGCAGCAATGATCATGGCTATGATAGAGAGAAACATTCCAATTCCCATTCTTTGCATTACACTAATACCTTTGTCGTTACGGATTACCATCCGTGATATTGGGATCAAGATCTTATCATAGAGAGGCATTAGGAGGATTATTGACAGTGTGATGGCACTTTGTAGTGTTGCGGGTGGGATGTTGAAGTCACTGCCAATGTTCCTCTTCATTGCCATGCCTTGTTTAGTGAAGAATGTTGGAGGTTGTTGGAAAATTACGGCAAACATAAGTAGCATTGTCCAGATGGGCAAAAGTCGCAGCACTAGCTTAGCATTTTCAAGCATGTATGATGTGCTACTTTTATTGTTGGCTGCCAATTGTTCATGACAAAGGGGTTTCTCTTGAAGCCTATAGACAAAGAAAAAAAAAAAGACTTACCGTCAGAAAACTCATTGCACATTACAAGCTGAAGCCACCTCAAAATACAAGAAGAAATTAAACTTACTCTAGCTCCACCATTTTGGCATTCTCATCACGTAATGTGATTCTGCTAGTGGTCAATTTCGATAATGTTGATTTGATGGACTGGATTATGGCATAAAAAGGCTTACTATTAAACTCTCCATCTGGTCTATAAACATAGATTCGGCTTCCACATGAGAAAAACACAATTGATGTAACCATTGCAATTGTGGGGATAGCGAATCCTATTACCCAACCAAAGGTATCTTGGATGTAGGACATAAGTGTGACACCCAACAGGCTACCACCACAAACTCCAAAATACCACCATTGGAAAAACATACTCCTGTTATCAGATTTCTGATCATCTTTGCCACAAGGCAATTCATCATTGCCATCAAGTTGGTCTGCCCCAAAGGCTTGCAAGGATGGGTTATATGCACCTTGGCCAAGTGAAATTAAACAAAGGGACCATAAGAGGAGAGATGAGGAGCGTGTGCTACTTGGTGGAGACCATGCCCATGCTAATGCAGTTGATGTCACTGCCACAAGTCCCTTTGAAAGGAAAAAAATGAAAGTATTGAAAAAGCAACATGGTTTAGAGAGACAGACAACTGCCTTAACAAAAACCATATCAGAAACAATGACAAGCATGCCTAAATTCATTCTTTTATCATACCTAGCATAATAAAGCTATATCCTCATTAAATTTTGCCTCCATATTATCCAACAGTATAGCAGTAACAGCACCATGAGTCAGGTGGAGAGGAATACAAAAAAAAAAAAAAAAAAAAAATTATTTTTTTTTGTATAACTTATTATTAAATATATTTTTAAAAAATAGTAACAGAATCTCTTTTGTAAAGATTAGGCCCAAGTACTTGCTGGCCCATATATTGTGTGAAAAATTGTTGACATTGGGTGATCCAATCCATTTGAATATATCAAACAGGGTTTAATCTTTTTCTCAAGAAACAAAAGCCATTAAGCCTTGAATGTTGAAAGGGAAAACATACAAAACAAAAAGGGTCAAATCAAAGTAAAGGCCAACCTTAATTTTTTCCAAAGAAGGCGAAAGAGGGTGGGGATGACTCATGATTCATTACACTGCCAACCCCCATGAAAGGTACTGATCATTAACCACGTAATAATGACAGAATTTCACAAGAGCATGTGAAACACGGAACACAACCACCACTAAGGCAAACTCAATACCTATGTTATCTGGTATGGAGCCACCGTTGTTGAAATTTCAATGACATGGAGAAACTCACAGTAACAGAAAGAGAAGCATCACTCACCACAACATACAGGAAAGAAGAAGCCAATATGGTAGAATATCGATCCCAACAAGAATCAGCCATCGGTGCCACTAGCAGTGGCAGCATGGATGTGAAACCACACCAACTGTTGACAGTCTTGGCAGCAGAGGAGTTGCTCATGTTCACAACATCAGTAAGATAAGTCACCAAGTTGGATGCCACCCCCTTGAAGGCAAGCCTCTCCATACCAGCAATCACTATCAAAACATTAACACATCACACATGCAAATCAGACTCTCCCAGAATGCCAAACTTCAGATCCCAAGTAGATACTCCCAAGCTCTAAATAAGTTCTTCCAAATAGCTCTGAACAAGAGCATAATTTGAAAGAGCAATGCTAGGGGCACTCGCTTTTCGCACTCTCCGGCCGACACTTCCCCTTTCATTGGGCCACGTAAGCTACTTAAAACCTTCAAGCCGAAATTTAACCCAACCGAGATAACGTGGCCCAATAAAAAAGAAAGTGTTGACCGGAGAGTGCAAAAAGCGAGTGTCCCTAGCATTGCTCAATTTGAAAACACTCATCGAAATAAAAAGCGGTTCAAGGGGAACTTTTAATATGGGGAAATGAATTTACAAGAGAAGGGTATTGAAGCAAACATTCACACTGAAGCAAAGACACAAAGCCCAGAACAAAGGAAGAAGCGGAAGCTTAGACATAGATAAGATAAAATAGCGTATTCTTACCTATAAGAAGAATACATGATTTTCTGAGTCCCTTTGCTCTTTCCCCTCCAGCCATGTGAAAAGAGAGACCTTCAATCTTCCGACAAAATTAAAACAGCTCTAGAATTATATGGGCCAAGGAAGAGAGAACCCTTAATCTGCCCATCTCAATCAAAATTAATGCTTCCACAGTTTCATCTCAGAATTTCACTCAGACCCTCCAACAAACACCTGTAGAACATGGTTATTGACACCATTTTCACCGCAGAAATGGACAAAAAACATTGTGTTTATAGCATAATGGGACACTAGACACTCACTAAACAAGAAAAGAATATTAACTTTATATGTCTTATTATTTAAAACAAGAAAAATGTTAAACTCCACTTATAGAGTTTTCAGTTGAATATATTGTCATTGCAACGTCAACGAGAAGTGTTATGTTGACATGCGAAGAGATAAAAAGAGCACCATCGGTACACATATCGCTCCAATTCTGCAACTTTACAATATCATCACGTAAATTCATGAACCTAGGTAAATGACACGATTACTTCTTGGGTAAAGGGAATCCCATGAAAGATTTTCAAAGATTGAAGCATAAACAAAAGATATATGGGTGAAATGTTGACTCATTTTGATAAAGAAATTATACAAAAAGGGGGAGTAGCAGAGATTTAGTGCTGGAACAAATAATGGAGAACATTCTGAGTTTTTATTTTTTTGGATGCTATGCCACTTTTCATTTGCATAACTTAAACTCTTGAAACTTGTAAGATTAATTGTTAAGATTTTTTATTTAATAGGTATTAACTTGAATGATTTTTTTACTTTATTGATGAGTACTCAATTTTAAAAGAGAAATAATGAAACGAGAAAATTCAGCAATCTAGCTAACTTAAACTTTTCTACAATTGAAAAAAAAAGGGTTCCAGAGGCTAGGACGTGCACTCAGGCACTACGCTGGAACCAATAAATCATGAGCAAAAAGTTAGATTGTAATGAAAATCGAATTAGAGAAGCCGCGCAAGACACCATAAATTGGTGAGAGACATCTTTTTTGGTGGTAGCTGACAAGGATTCTGAATTATTAAAAAAGCTAAAAGAAAAGCACTAAGCATTGTTTTACTTGTCTTAGAATTTGCAGAGCAATAAACCAGAGATTCTGCATATAATAATAAAAAAATTACTGTATAATTTAAATTGAATAAAATTATATAACTTAAATTATTAAAAAATAACTTTTATTTATTATTTAATATCTGTTAGTTAACGACTTAAGTAATTCAATAGTAATCTTCTTCCGCTAAAAGTAAAAAGTTTTGAATTCGAGTTACATGACATATGAGTAGAATTGAATAAGAAATAAGAGAATATTATCTCCTATTATGCAATCAACATAAAATAATAATAATAATTTAATGCATGTTTAAATTGCAAAATAAAAACTCTATAATGATTTTGGTGGTTTGGTGATATGGTTGTCACTTCGGCTTGGGGTTCCACCACTATGCTATTCCTTTACCTGCCTTTAATGCTTTGCTTGTTTGGAAGAAACAAATAGACATAGTCCCACGTCTCAGAAGGGCAATAAAACCTAATTTGCCTCATCGCACTCAACCAATCAAAATGTCATATGCAAGCAACTATTCATCACTTTTTTTTCCCTAATCATGGATTTAATTATAGTTTGTGAATGTCCATTGAATTATGAATATCCATTGTACCACGGCATCATACTTCCCTGCAATAGAGAACACACTTAATTAGTTACGAAAAAAAAAAAAAGGTAAAAAAATAAAAAAAAAATAATTTTTAATGGAAAAACAAAAAATTTTTTTAAAAAAAAAAAATTTATGCCATGACACTTCATTTTGCTCATATAATACAATACCAACATTGATAATCACTCATGCTTAATACCTGCAATAACAAAATATATCAACTTTTTTTGAGTGGAAAAGGAGAACACTAGATTTATGAAACTTATTTTTATATACAAGAGCTTTCTAAAATCTAATGAACATGAAACAATTAAATCACGTTGAAGAAAATATAGGAATACTGTATTATTTGTTACCATAATTCCCCTTGGTTTTGAAATTTTTGGAACAAATTTTCCATGGTACAAACAAGTAGTATATAACCTGAATAGGTTTGGTCATCTTGAGCTTCAAATTGAGGGCACTCAATCCGTCAAGATTAGGGAGAAAGGACAAAAGTGGGGTTAGATTTTACCCCCATCAATTGAGAGGGGTTTGTTGAGGATTTTAAAGGTGATGAGTTGATGATGCATGCGTGTTGAAACTTTTCAAAACCAAGATGTTTCCTTGAAATCATGGGAATTATGTTGTTTGTATCTCAAGTTGGTGGGGGCTTCTGTCTTAAGCTTAATTTGGGACAGCACATACTATAGTAGAGTGCAAGTGGCAATCCCTCTCATAGATTTCGTGACAAAACTATATATGTTTTCTTACTTAGATTGGGCATTTACATACATATTCTTGCAAATAAAAGCTAACCTTCAAAACTTAGCTTAAGATTATATAAAGAACAATGCCGAGACGCCGTGCCTTGTTTAATTTATTAATAATTAAGTGCAAGTATCATTCTTTAATATTTTTGGAAATTTTGAAATGTATATGAAATTTTAACTTAAATAATTTTATAAAATAATCTTTACGTCTCAGTTTAATGGTCAAAACCTTTAATCAGGTGGGAATCACTTTCCGTAGATTTCGTCTTCAAACTCTATGGGTAACATTTCCTCTTCCACCAAATTGCCCTATCTATTTAAAAAAAAAAAAAAATTGATGGGTTAACTATTCATTTTCTATTTTTTATGAGAATTTTTTTTAGAGAAGAGTGAAAATTAAAATGCCAAGATTACATGTATAATCCTTTAAACACCTTTAATAAATCTTTATATTAGTTAATTAAAAATATTTAAAATTTTTTATTATTATTCTTAACATTTTAATTATAAAAACATAAATAATTTTTGAAATAAAAATTATTATACAATTCAAATTATATAGATTACACAAAAAAAAATCATATAATAAGAGACAAGCTTCTTAATATTAAAAACACTTCCTTATATAATAATTCATGTTTTATAAAACAAAAATCTCTTCTATTTTCCATTTCGGCAGACCCAACATTTAACCCAACCAAGCCCAGCCAATCCATCTCCATACTTTTTGGAACTAAGCCCGAATGTTCCTACTAGATCAACATCCGACAACTCAACCCATCATCAAATGGCCCAGATTTTCAGGAGCAAAATCGGAAAATCTTCCATTCCCCAGTCCCGTAAAG